TATCAAAAAAAACTGGACCACATGGTTATGAGTGTATGACGTTTTAAAATCTACATCTTGATATACATAAAGTTTTTTTTTCACTTAATGACAACACTTTAACTCATCCATAACTTCAAAACTCTATCTCTACCAACCGATGCAACTTTCTCACCATCAGGATTATTATCTTTTTTCCTGATACATCTTCCCTTTATCTACAAGTAAAACAAAACAAAAAAGGAAATAAAAACAAACCTCATCTGCATGACCTGGAAGATCTTGCTTCAATTTCCTTTCCCTCACATCCCAAACGTAAAAAACATATGTAAAACATCATAACTATTTATCATGTAAAAGAAGAAAATGAAAAAGAAAACACTTGATTGTGCCTTGAGGGTAGAGTCCTTGCTACTGTAAAGTACTAACAAAAGAGAAGTAAAGTTTTTATATTGACACAATCAGTTTTACAAAAAAGAAAGCTAGAGAAAACAATATAAATAAAGAGAAGAATGGACTAAGGTTTGCTAAAGGGCTAAACAAGGCCCAAAACACAAAATGAACTCAAACAATCTATTAGGCTAATAGCTACCACTCAAAAGAAGTCTACTTTCAGCAGCAGACCAATTGCACCAGTACAATCTGTGAGAAGCTAAACGGAGATAATATTATCAAATGGGAACTGATTCGTACACAACATTTTTTCTCCGTACACAACAATTTGTGTTTTAAAGTGTTGTATTGTACAACTCTATAATGCATGAATTGTTGTGTATGGCAAAAAATTGTTGTGTACGAATCACTCCCCTTATCAAATTCATATAGTATAAGTGAAATAAAATTTAAACCTTATTTGATAAACAATATCTACCTGTAGTGGGGAGACTATGCACATCAAAGGTGGGTCCCCTGACCCACCTATTTTCTTTATTTTTATAAAAGATTATATGGAAATATAAATTGTGAATTGCTTTAAATATTTTAAGTTAACCTTTTGGCAAATATATATATATATATATATATATATATATATATATATATATATATATATAGGCCTAGGTTATTCTATTCAAAGTAATTATTGTGTTATTGTATGCATAAATGTGGGCCAATCAAAGTTACTTATTTTAAGAAAGTGATTAATATATATTATTGAATTAAATATAATTGAAAATATCATATTAATTAATTACAAGGGTAATTTAGTCAATTAATATAGATTTAATAAAGGAAAATTGCATTTTTTAAGGGATCATAGATTCTATTAATTTTAAAAATCCGATTTTACGTATTATAATTTTTTTAATTCGGACATTCTGACAGAATATGTTTATGAGTATATTCAAAAATAAAAATATTCTTGAACCATAAATAATAAAAATATTCTTGAACCTATTTCTTGATCATGAATTTAAAAACTTCTTGTAGAATAACAAATCCTTGAACAATCAATTGAAGAATAAAAACAAAAAATACATTATTTCTTATAGAATACGGGTAACAATTGTTAAGAATTACATTTATTGTTAAGGAATAAAACTAAAAAAACAATCAAAACGGGAAAGAAAACATCAAAATCTAACAACGACTAATACATTCTAAAAGAATAATGTGGTCCGTTTCAATTTTGTGGTCTGTTCTTCAAACACCAACTTTTATGATTCCAACAGAATTGGAATTCGTCTTTCCATTCTAACATAATTGGGATTCGTGATTCCATTCCAATAGAATTGGAATCTCACCAATATCATCCATTGAATCATCTACATAAACACTCTTCCATTCTCTATTCTTTTCTGCATCGATTCACAATCAATATTTAATACAAAAGAAAAATCACCCCTGCATTCCTTCTCTTCTTCGTTTTCAGTCAAGAACACACCACCGAAGTGGATGTTTTCTAGTGCAAACAGAAGAGATCAGCAGCTCCTTTCTCTTCTTCTTCTTCTTCTTCTTTGATTTCTGCCAAGAACATCAAGAGACCAACAGCCTCTCCCTTTTCCTTCTATCTTTCCCTATTAAAAGAATCAAACAAACAAAAAACTCCCCTTAGATCGTTTTCTGCCTGCTTCCATTTTCCTTCGTTGTTGGCTGTTAAATCGGAAATAAAGGGGGAGCAAGGAGATTACCGGAGCAGCCCCCCATCGCATCCCACACATTCTCCGGTCAAGCAAACACCTCCGAAAACCTCACCTGTGCCGCTGCTTCGCTGCTCCTTGTCGAGAGCTCCGTTCTAGGGTTTGTAATTCGAGAGCAGCTTGAGCTTCGTCGTCCGACTCCGAGTCGGAATCGGAATTTGATGCAGACCGGAATAAAGGGGTAATGGCGGTTGGAGGGACAAGGGTGGGGGTGTCGATTTGTTCAATTTAGGGTTTTCAGAATCGGTTTTTAGATAAAGAGGGTAAGGAGATTTAAACTGAAGAGATACCATGATTCTAGGGATTATTTTTGGAAGTTATTAAACAAATGACTAAATTACCCTTATTTATTTATTTAATTATTTAATTTTTTATTTAATTTTGATTGGTTCACATTTATGCATACAATAACACAATACTTACTTTAAACACCTGAACCTATCTCTCTCTCTCTCTCTCTCTCTCTCTCTTTATATATATATATATATATATATATATATATATATATATATATATATATATATCAAAATTTTCAAAGGCTGTCTTTGATTTTTTTTTTCATTTTCTATCGATTTCTTTTAAATAGTGAACCATGTAGTTTTACATTCTAGACCGTCACTGCCCACGTGACCTCGAAAGGCGGCAACAAACGTTCATGTAACGCCATTCTATAACTTCACAGACTTATCACCATTCTATCACCTGAAGTCTTGCAATCCATAGTCCATTGGGTGAAAAGCAAACACGGTTTACTAGCTGTAAATATTTTAAATTCAGAAATCTTAGCTAGACTCGCAAATGCTTTATTTTCAAGGGCAAATTACGAATAATAGAAACTTACTTTTCTATTGTAATGACACGTTCATGTAAGGGAGGAGGGAGTCATTCCCTCCTAACCCACTGAACCCACTGTCACATCAATTTTTGTCTCTTCTTTTTCTTCATCTTTTCCAACCCACAACACATGGAAATCTTATATTTCTCAACCCACTCAATTAAAAAAAATACAAAACAACTAAGGTACAAGTTTTAAAACGCATGATACAAGAGAAAATGAGAGAGAGAGACAGTAGAGAGAGAGGATGAAATGGGTTAGTGAAACCAATTAAACAACCCGTTGAAGTGGGAGTGGTACCGGCGGTAACTCTATTGCTAATTAAGATTTTACCTTGATTGTTTTGTATTTTTTTAAATTGAATGGGTTGAGTAGGTTCAAAAAGATAGGGTTTCCGTGTGTTGTGGGTTGGGAAAGATGAAAAAAATGAAAGAGAAAAACTGATGTGGTAGTGGATTCAGTGGGTTGGGAGGGAATGACTCCCTCCTCCCTAACGTCATTCTATAACTTATCACCTGAAGCACTTGCAATCCATAGTCCATCGGGTGAAAAGCAAACATGGTTTACTAGCTGTAAATATTTTCAATTCAGAAATCTTGGCTAGACTTGCAAATGTTTTATTTTCAAGGGCAAATTGCGGACAATAGCAACTTACTTTTCTATTGTAATGACAAGGATAGACCGGGATGTGTTAAGCCACGGGGTGTAGATGTCTGCTTTGATACCATCTAAGATATATGTGTAGTCCAAGATTGTCTCTATAAAAACGTCCTTATGAAGATAATGGAGACTTCATCATATATAGATACTTATAAGATAGTGTGGCACCAATGTGGGATGCCCAGACAATAACATCCTTCATCTTCGCTTCTTTCTCCTCCATTACCATATTGTCGAAACCTCTTCACCCCTCATATATGTTTTCCACCCTCTCCCGATTCCTGAAAAACACTACACCACGACGCCACCATGATCGCTTCACCTAGTCTTGTACACCATGACACCACCATCATCCCACTCCTGCCACCCCATCAAGAATAACTTGATTTCAGATAATTGCATTTGCTAAATTAATGATCGACAAAACCCTAGAATTTATGATTCATAAATAATCTTTTAATTTGAAGCTCATGTCACCATTTAACCGATTGAAATTGATGTTTCTTTTGATGTTGCAGGTTAATGATTTTGAATATGATTTTTTAGGTTTCTAATTTTGAACGTATGTTTTGTTTTGTCTTAAATATGTTTTATTATTGCTTTGATTTTAATTTGGTGGCGGTATACGATGGAGAAAGTGGCACCGTTGAACGGTGGCGGGGTGGAGCGACGAATCAGTGGTGGGTAGTGTATCCCTTAATTCTTAAAAATGGTTAATAAAATTTAAAAAGCACAAGATGACAAAAAGACAAAACATGGATAAATTAGTCATTTTATATGTTAACGGATGACCATTAACAGTAAAAGTCAGAGCCTATAAGGACCATTGAAACCACGAGGACCATCATAACAATTTTAAAATTTAGAACAAGCATGCGGATGAGAGCATCCATAATGGTGAGTTCAATGAGAGAGTTGAATTAGGTGTCAATTCTAGTTGTCATTCAATGGATGAAACTCTACCATAATGAGATGACACATTGGAATTCAATGGATTTGGAGTCCAATGGTCATTGAACTTTTCAATGGGAAAAAGGAAAGTTTTCTAATCTTAAATACATACTATAAATTAGTTTTTGTAACTTTCTATTGAACTTTCGTAGAGTTGAACGCATTGTAGAAAAATTTTGATTGAGTTGTTTGAAATGTATAAAAATGACGTGACAATCCATTGAACTCAATGGAGTTCAATGCATTATGCCGGAGTGCCAACCACACGACTAAACTGCAATTTACTAAAAAAAACACCAAAAACATGTCAAATGAGGCATGTATTTTTTTTTTCTTTTTTTGTATTTTTCATTAAGGCCCATGCTAAAGGTGGCGGCACTTTCCCATTGATTCTCGTATATATACCAATTGATTCTCCTATATACAAAATTACAAAGCGTCCCTCTCTTCGTAGTCCAACAAACTCCCGGGTTTCAGAGAGATGATTGGAGAAGGGAAGGTGGTATGTGTTACAGGTGCATCGGGATTCATAGCTTCATGGCTCGTCAAGCTCTTGCTTCAGCGTGGCTACACTGTTCATGCTACTGTCCGATCCCTTGGTTAGCTTCTCCTGCTCAACTAATTTTGACTTTTAATCTGCTATCATTTCAAAACCTTAGGAACCTACATTTCTACCTTTTTTACGGATGAAAAATTCGTTGTTTATTCTATTTTCTGCATTCGAATCCAATCCAACTACTGGCTTTATTGAATAATTAATTAGAATCAGAGTGTTGATGTGTGACCAAAATTGACCCATCTCTTATCCCTGATAGTGTTTAATTAAGAGGTATTCAGATTGTTGATTTGAGGTCTACGCAGTGAGTTTTGTAATCAATATTCCGACTTTGCATCAACTGGTTGACCTTTTTCATTCTTGAGATTTGTTTATGTTTGATTTGTTCTGATTCCATTGAAATGTGGTGCAGATGATCCTAAAAAGACACAACACCTACTTGCTTTTGATGGAGCTAAGGAAAGGCTTTCTTTGTTTGAAGCTAGCTTGCTTGAAGAAGGATCTTTCGAGTCTGCTGTTAATGGCTGTGATTGTGTCTTCCATACAGCGTCACCTATTATGTTTCCAGTTTCTGGCCAACAGGTTGTTTTTCCTTCTTTTTCCCTCAATTAACTTTCCCATGTGTTATCAACACAAATATGATACAATTCCTGATTGTTTTTTTTTTTTTCTTAATTTCTATTAGGCTCAAGTGCTAGACCCTGCAGTGAAGGGGACACTTAATGTTCTTAAATCAGCTGCAAAAATTCCATCTCTCAAAAGAGTGGTCTTGACATCTTCCATATCTGCAGTTCTATTTGGTGCAAAACCTCCTGAGTTTGGTGCTGTGGCGGATGAAACCTGGTTTTCAGATCCTGAAACTTGTGAACAAAAAGAGGTATAATTGTTTTTAAAACTTTAAAATGTAGTAATGTGGTCTCACTTCTTTATTAATCAAATACTATTTTATATTTTACAGTTATGGTATCCCCTTTCCAAGACACTGGCTGAGAATGCTGCAGTAGAATTTTGTAAAAATAACGGTCTCGAGTTGGTGGTTATAAATCCGGGGTTTGTGATTGGCCCTATCTTACAACCAACTCTCAACATCAGTTCTGAGAGCTTTATTGGTTTAATTGAAAATGGTAATTGTCTCCCACAACAAATTTTCATATGCATGATTGATCGATTCATGGTCTAAATTTTTATGTTGTGGAAGGTGTTGAATGATGTATTATGTATTATATGCAGGAACAGAATTTCTCCCATATGGAATTTATCAACTTGTTGATGTGAGAGATGTTGCTAATGCTCATATTTTAGCATTTGAGAACCCCCAAGCAAATGGAAGATACATTATGGCTGCAGATGTATATCACTCTTCAGATATCATGAAGATCATAAACCAAAACTATCCCGCTTTTGACTATTCTGAAAGGTAAGTGTTGATAAGTTATAACCTATTATTAGGTTCATTTCAACTTTATATGAACCCAAAATATGCAAAATCTGAAATACTTGTTTCTTTATTTAAATTTTGACAGGTATAAAGACAGCAAGTATGTTGGGACACCAAATTACTTTGTATCGAGAACAAAGGCAGAAAGTTTAGGCGTTAAGTTTACTACAGTTGAGGAAAGCATCAAGGACACTGTTGAAAGCCTAAAAGAGAATAAGTTCCTAAGCTTCTAAAACACCGATGATGTTTTCTAGATTGTTTGAAGTTACCACATGAACATTGTATTGCATGGTGTCTACTGTTTTCAACCCTGTTATAAATAAAAAAAATACAATGATCATGTTACACAAATTATCAAAAAACGGAACCACATGGTTTGTCACACTTGGAAACTACCTAAATTATGCAAAATTCAAAATACCACTGCCAAATTTGCAGTTTAGGAGTGTTTAGATGATGCCTTAAAATCTACATCTTGATATGTATAGCATCATACTCCTATTTATCATGTTACTAGAGTCTAAAAAAAAGAAGAAGAAAACACTTGATTTTACCTTGAGGGTAGAGTCATTGCTACCACTCAAGAGAAGTGTACTGTCAGCAAACCAACTGCACCAAAGCCGTATAGAATTTGTGAGAAGCTAAACGGGGTAAATATCATTAAATTTATATTAGGCTAGGAGGAGTGGACTCGCCATACACCCTCGCTACTGCTCGCTATGGACACAGAACACCGCCCCCTAGCACTCGCTAGGGGACTCGCTAAGGAGAAGACGCTACGGAGGTAGCGAGAGGAGAGAGAAGCGGGAGCTTGGCTGTGATTGGAGAAAGACGTAGGTGTATATCTGATATCGGTAGAGAGGGTGCGACGTGATTTTCTACAAACCAGTTTGGACTGGTTCGTTTGTATAGCATGATTATGCCCTAAACAATTCTTCTACCAGTCGAAGATTGGCAACCCATGGAAGACTGGCAACGAACAATTCTGCAATTAAGGTAATTTTTTTCCATATCATCGATTTAATTGATGTTGTTTGGCTGTAATTCATTAGTTTTTGTGAATCATAGTTTGTTTTCTGCACAGTTTAACCTCTTGATCTTGACTTATTCCACCTCTTGAACAGAGGATGTAAGTAATCCTTAGCCGGTTTGTTTTCTGCAAGGTTTAACCACTCGAGGGTGTTTGAAAGTCGTGGCCTATTTATCTCAATTCTCTTTTTTCTGTTGCTCATCAGTATACGGGCTTTCAGAGGAGTTGTCGACCTTAAAAACATTCAAAGATGTTGCACACACCACCTGCTCGATGAAATGCCACAGTTCTTCAAACACAAATACAAAATCATAGTTAGTATATCGAGTTCGTACCTTAAACATGGTTGCAAGAGGGCTTCCTTTGGGTACCCTCCTTCTCTCCGAGTAGGAGATCAATATTTTAACTAGTTATTACCATGTTTATGACTTTATCTTTTGTTATGGTGCTTTTGAAATGGCAAGTTGGTTTGATAGTTTGTAGAACAATGGCTACGTTATGGTATGTTTTAAGTAATACATATGCTATGGTCCAGGCTAGTTTTTTCATTTCTTTGAGGAAGGGTATTGTAGTAGCATAAAGGCATAAAATTTATCAATTGATGTTCATGATATTCTTGGTCAGCTTGCTCCCAGTTTGGGGATTTGGGAATATTGAGAATATAAAGTTTGGAACCATGGTTTTGCACCCCATTTTGACTTATTTGAAACCATGGTTTTGCATGGTGTTGTACCACAGTAGAGCAGATTTGTTTTGAATCCTTAGAAGCACCATAGTTTTGTATCCCATTTTGACTTATTTGAATTCGACAAAAATTACAATTTATGTGTTAGATGTTCAATTTTTGCAACACGATTGATGGTTTCCGTTGATTGTGAAACAGGGCTTTAAGCTCCCCTCGGGATCTTGATGGAGCAACCCTCCAGATGAGACTCTCTTGTAGTCCAGCCATCGATTTGTTCTACCAAATTACTGTTTTGCCCTTGCATCGATTTATATTATATTAATTGTTTGTGGTTTAAAAAAATAAAATTTGTTTAATATCTGTACATAAAAAATGTTTGTGTATTGAAATAAAGTAATTTAATTATATTTGAAAAAGAAAAAAAAATGTTAGGAGTATTACCACTCCCTACCAAATGTTAATATTAGGTGTTAAATGGAAAAAAAATGTAAACCTTATTTGATAAACGGGACCCACGTGACCCCAAAAGGCGGCAGCAAACGCTCATGTAACACCATTCCATAACTTGACAGACTTAATCCATAGTCAATCAGGTGAAAAGTAAACATTGTTGTAAATATTTTCAATTCAAAAATCATGACTAGACTCGCAAATGTTTTATTTTCAATGGGCAAATTGTGGACAACGGCAACTTACTATGCTATTGTAATGACAAGGATAGACCGGGATGTGTTAAGCCACGGGGTACAGATGTCTGTTCTGATACCATGTAAGATATATATGTAGTCCAAGATTGTCTCTATAAAAGAGTCCTATGAAGATAATGGAGACTCCATCATATAGAAACACTTATAAGAGTATGTGGTACCAATGTGGGATACCTTAACAATAACATCCTTCATCTTCCCTTCTTTCTCCTCCATTACCATACTGTCGACACCTCTTCGCCCCTCAGCTATGTTTTCCACCCTCTCTCGATTCCTGAAAAACGCTAGACCACGGCACCATCATGATCGCCTCACCTAGTCCCCTGCACCATGACACCACCACCATCCCACTCCCGTGCCCCATCAAGAATAATTGTGATTTCAGATAATTGCATTGCTAAATTAATGATCAACAAAACCCTAGAATTTATGATTCATGAATAATCTTTTGAAGCTTATGTCACCATTTAACCGGTTAAAATTGATGTTTCTTTTGATGTTGTAGGTTAATGATTTTGAATATGATTTTTTAGGTTTTCTAGTTTTGAATGTATGTTTTGTTTTTGTCTTAAATTTGTTTATTACTTCTTTGATTTTAATTTTGTGGTGGTGTATGATGGAGGAAGTGGCACCGTTTTACAGTGGCATGGTTGGGCGATTAATCGGTGGTGGTGGTGTATCCCTTAATTCTTAAAAATTGTTAACAAAATTTAAAAATGACAAGATAACAAAAAGACAAAACATGTGTAAATTGGTAATTTTATATATTAACGGAGGGTCATTGACAGTAAAAAAGCCAGAGAGCCTATAAGGACCATTGAAACCATAAGGACCATCCGTACCAATTTTAAAATTTAGAAAAAAAACTGCGGATTAGTGCCAAACACATGACCAAACTATAATTTACTCAAAAAAAAAAAAACATGTAAAATGAGGCATGTATATTTTATTTCATTAAGGCCCATGCTAAAGGTGGCGGCACTTCCCTCTGATTCTCCTAAGCGTCCCGCTCTTCATCTACTCAAGTTTCCAACAGAGCTCCCCGGTTTCAGAGAGATGATTGGAGAAGGGAAGGTGGTATGTGTTACAGGTGCCTCGGGATTCATAGCTTCATGGCTCGTCAAGCTCTTGCTTCAACGTGGCTACACTGTTCATGCTACTGTCCGATCCCTCGGTTACCCTCTCCTTCTCTCTAATTTTGACTTTTAATCTGCTATCATTTCAAAACATTCGGAACCTACATTTCTACCTTCTTTAGGGATCAAAAATTCGTTGTTTATGCTATTTTCTGTGTTGGAATCCAATCCAACTACTAGCTTTATTGTATAATTAATCAGAATCAGATTGTTGATCTAGGACCAAAATTGACCCGTCTCTTATCCCTAATAGTGTTTAAGAGGTATCATGATTGTTGATTTGAAGTCTACGTAGTAAGTTTAACAATCAATCATCAACTGGTTGACCTTTTTCATTCTTGAGATGTGTGTTTATGTTTGATATCTTCTGATAGCTGATGTTCCGTTGAAATGTGGTGCAGATGATCCTAAAAAGACACAACACCTACTTGATTTTGATGGAGCTAAGGAAAGGCTTTCTTTGTTTGAAGCTAGCTTGCTTGAAGAAGGATCTTTCGATTCTGCTGTTAAGGGTTGCCATTGTGTCTTTCATACAGCGTCTCCTATTATGTTTCCAGTTTCTGGCCAACAGGTTGTTTTTCCTTCTTTTGCTCTCAATTAACTTTCCCATATGTTATCAACACACATTTCCTGATTGTTTTTTTTCTTAATTTCTATTAGGCACAATTGCTAGATCCTGCAGTGAAGGGGACACTTAATGTTCTTAAATCAGCTGCAAAAGTTCCATCTCTCAAAAGAGTGGTCTTGACATCTTCCATATCTGCAGTTTTATATGGTGTAAAACCTCCTGAATTTGGTGCTGTGGTGGATGAAACCTGGTTTTCAGATCCTGAAACTTGTGAACAAAAAGAGGTATAATTGTTTTTAAAACTTTAAGATGTAGTAGTGTGGTCTCATTTCTTTATTAATCAAATACTACTTTATATTTTACAGTTATGGTATCCGCTTTCGAAGACACTGGCTGAGAATGCTGCAGTAGAATTTGCTAAAAATAACGGTCTTGAGTTGGTGGTTATAAATCCCGGGTTTGTCATCGGCCCTATCTTACAACCAACTCTCAACATCACTTCTGAGGGCTTTATTCGTTTAATTGAAACCGGTAATTGTCTACTACAACTAATATTCATATGCATGATTGATGGATTCCTGGTCTAAATTTTTATGTTGTGCAAGGTGTTGAATGATGTATTATGTATATGCAGGAAAGGAAATATTCCCAGATGGAATTTATAGACTTGTTGATGTGAGAGATGTTGCTAATGCTCATATTTTAGCATTTGAGAACCCCCAAGCAAATGGAAGATACTTATTAGTTGCAGATATATATCACTCTTCAGATATCATGGAGAATATAAACCAAAACTATCCTTCTCTTGACTATTCTGAAAGGTAGGTATTTATAACCTATTTTTAGCTTATTTTTAACTTTATAAGGACCCAACAAAATGCAAAATCTGGAATACTTGTTTTTTTTATTTAATTTTTGACAGGTATAAAGACAGCAAGTATGTTGGGACACCACCTTTCTTTGTATCGAGAACAAAGGCAGAAAGTTTAGGCGTTAAGTTTACTACAGTTGAGGATAGCATCAAGGACACTGTTGAAAGCCTAAAAGAGAAGAAGTTCCTAAGCTTCTAAAACACCAGATTATGTTTTCTAGATTTGTTTGAAGTTACCAAATGAACAATGTATTATATCGTGTCTGCTGTTTTCAACTCTGTTGTAAATAAAAAATACAATGATAATGTTACACAAATTATCAAAAAAACTGAACCACATGGTTTGTCACACTTGAAAACCACCTAAATTATGCAAAAATCATAATACCACTGCCAAATTTGCAGTTTAGGTGTGTGTATATATGATGCTTTAAAATCTACATCTTGATATACATAAAGCTTTCTTAACTTTATAACACTTTAACCCATCCATAACTTCAAAACTCTATCCCTACCACCCGATGCAACTTTCTCACCATCTGGACTCCAATCCACAGCAAAAACCTAAAACATATACAAAAGAAAAATATTACTTTTTTTTTAAGTTTTTGGATTATCATTTTTTTTTCTGATACATCTTCCATGAGAAAAGAACTAAAAACAAACCTCATCTGCATGACCTGGAAGATCTTGTTTCAACTTCTTTTCCCTCACATCCCAAACCTAAAAAACATATGTACAATAACATCATAACTATTTTAACTATTTATCATGTTACTAGTTTCTAAAAAAGAAAAAGAAAAAACTTGATTTTACCTTGAGTGTGGAGTCCTTGCTACCACTCAAGAGAAGTCTACTATCAGCAGACCAACTGCACCAAAGCCGTATACAATTTGTGAGAAGCTAAACATTATTAAATTTAATTTAAATAAAAGTGAAAGAAAATTTAAACCTTATTTGATAAACGGGACCCACGTGACCCCGAAAGGCTGCAACAAACGTTCCCGTAACGCCATTCCATAACTTGACAGACTTGTCAAATGAAGCACTTGCAATCCATAGTCCATCAGGTGAAAAGTAAACATGATTTACCAGCTGTCAATAATTTCAATTAAAAAAATCTTGATGAGAGTCAATGACACTCGCATTTTGCTACCAATATATGCATTGTACTTTATTTGTTGCAAATTGCTATTATGGGTAAAGAAATGTAATACGTTATTATGAGTAAATAATTGTAAAACTAGTACCTGTTGATGACCTGTCATTCGAGTTTTGGGACGCTTGTCTTTAGAAGGTTCCCAGAGGAACATGGTGAAATCATCACTACCTGAAACTAACCTCTCAGGAGCATCACCCTTCATCTTGTTGTATCTTTCTAAAGCTGCCTGTTATATAAATTTTTTTTCAATTCTCATACCAATAAATGACTACTAAAAACACAAGAAGAAAAAAAAAACATCAATTTACCTCTTTCATCTCTTCTGGAGATGAATATTGTTTACGTGTATGATCAAAAGCTCCAGTCCGTAAAACATATTCAGTACTTAATGCCAAAGAATTCACCCAATGTCCATGACCCTATAATTTAAAAAAAAAAAAATACAGATTAACACATGTATGATTGAACACATCAATGAATTAGTTGATTTGTGTGGTTATTAATTATTATACCTTCAACTCACGAATCAATTTTCCCTGAGTTGTTTCCCATACTTTGATTGTACAATCTTGAGATCTGTATCATGTAAAATGTTGTTCTCTTTTGTAATTTCCATTTATTGGTATAATTTTAATTTGGAACAATATATGATATATAAATACCCTGTGTATATGACTCCATCTCCACCCCATTTTACACAAGTGACTGCAAGAGTATGACCACTTAGAATAATAACAGTTTTCCTCAATGTAGCATCCCAAATTCGTGCATCACCATCTTTGCTGGAGGTGACAAAGCGACGACATGGCGATCTGAGGTGTACTGGTTCCCATGATATACCAGTAATCCATTTCTTGTGGCCCTGAAATTTTATGTATTAGTGTAAGATGAGAGCATATAAAGTAAGCAAATAACAAGATTGACAGATGGATAAAGAAAGCATATAATTACAGTAAGCAGATTGCCAGAAGCTTTTCCTGTCCGTGGGTCCCAGATTTGGATTTCTCCAGACTTGCTTCCACTTACTAGATGTTTGCCATCTGGTGACCATGCAACACAGAGAACCCAATTCTTGTGCCCTGAATAGATATGTAAAAATATAACAATTTGTTTGGCTTTTGTGATTATGAACTTATGATAACAACCATCATCTTCACTACATGGAACTTAAGTTTGTAAATGTTCTTTTTGTATCTTTAAAGAAAGTAAACTTGTTATACTGGTTTCTAACCTGTACAGGTGAACATAGGCGTTTGGGTATTCAAGTCCCAGAGGCGGACAGTTGTGTCACCTGAACCACTAGCCAGCTGTTGTCCATCAGGGCTAAAAACAACTGAAAGTACAGCCTCTGTATGACCTGCAAACACAAAATTTGAAGAAATGAAGTAATAACAACGTATTGGGGTGTATTTGATGGGGATAAAAGGAACGCATTGAGGTGGAACTCATCTACAGAAGATAGCCACCAATTGAAATTTATTAGCAAAGTGTTGGAAAGGTACCCGCAATTGTAGAAGAGCAACGATTAACTGGACGAATGCGGAAGACTGCTTGTGGTTGATACACTATTGTGACTACCTTCTCCACAGAAACTGAAAATAACATTTCATGATTCAGCAACAGTTCATATAACACTCAAGAAGATATTATACTAGAATTTCTAAGGCTTCTTTTTACCTTTTTTCTTCTGCAAATAATCTCCTAGTTGTATAACAAGCTCTTGATCGGATATATAAAAGGCGTATGGCAGCTTTTCCTCCTGAAACAACCAGAAAAGGATTTACAGCCTTGGGGAGATACCAATTCCAAAGCTACGCATTTAAACCGAGCTTCTAGTATAAAAAATACAATAAATCGTAAATAAGATGGGATTACATTGTTGAGCAACTTGTTAACCATCTGTTGAAGCTCCTTGGGGCCAACGCTTTGGGGAAGATACATGGAAGCACCGAGCGGCGTTCCCTCCGGGTCAGCTAATTGACACATGACGTTGTTAGTCAACTCCCTTGATTCTTCTGCTACTTCCACCTCCATTTTTCTAGGTTTTCAGAGCTGATTGAAATCCGCTTTTGATACGACGGAGGTGAGCGAGAAGAATGATACGATTTAGGGTTTTGGCGGGGTTTAGAGCAGGACGGAAGTCACTGACGAACATAAATTTAGGTCAAAAAACTTTATATACATAATTTCCCCTTCAAAAATTTGTTTTGGTTTGGTTCTCCAAACAACTATCTATTTTTAATCTACTTTCATTTTTTTTCACATAAAAAATAAGATAAATTGTGTTTAATCTTCAATCTTACCTTATTTTTTTTAACCTACTTTTATTTCTTGGATCCTATTCTATTTATTATCTCCAAAAAGTTTATCTTTAATATATTTCCTTCTTTCAACTTATATAGGTCGTCAAACACATCGTTTCTATTAATATATATATATATATATATATATATATATATATATATATATATATATATATATATATATTAATTATAAGCTTTTGTAAAACACCTTATCGTATTTTAAAATATCAATATGTATTTAAATTTTTATATGAATTTGATACACAAAGAACAAACTTTATAGCTATAATTAATTAATATAATTTAATATATAACAAAATATTGTAAATATTAAATATTACATTTAAATTATAATTAGTAGATAAAAATAAACTAGAAATGTATAAATATATAAAAAGGGGGACTAAAACCGACAACTCAAAATTCATCCTCATTCTGAGGGATATGAATAGTATTCCACCAAATATGGTGTAATACTATTCATATCACCTAAAATTGGGGAATAAATAGGGTTGCTTCTAGAACAATCGTCGGTACTCTATGATCGTCCCGCATGTATTGACCACATCATGTGTTGGGGAACAATACCCAAGACCAGTGTAACGTCCCAAAAATAAGAGCCAACAATTTCATTTTAATTTTATAAAAACAATAATCTGAACATTGTCATACAACCCATAAAGACCAAAGTATGTCACTACATCATATAATATCAAAGTAAATCTCAAAATACGGAAAACGGTGGCGTGTGCTCTGCAATCATCTCGGACTCTTCCCTTTCGATCCTGAAGTACCTGAAACATAAACTGAAAATTGTAAGCCCAAAGCTTAGTGAGTTCCCCAAACTACCACATACCATACATATAAACACATACTGGGCCCCCGCCCCACATCAGGCCTCGCCTGGCATCGAGTCCCACTCGGCCTCGGGCCCCGCCCGACATCGAGCCCCACTCGGATTATAGATTTGTCATTCATTAGGCCCCGCCTGACATCGGGCCCCGCCCGGTACACATAATAAACATATGAACATATAATCATGCTAACACATGCAATAATCACCAAGACAATAACATACAACACAGTCATCGAGCCTCGCCCGACATCGAGCCTCGCTTGGTATACATACCAGCACATAACACGTGCAAGAGTCACGCAGACATCTAGCATCCTATCATGATAATCATGGGTCGGCATTGGTGCCTTCGACCCGCTTAACACAGCGAGGAAACTCACCTCGAACTACTAAATCACATTGATAAATCTATGGTTGCTGGTCTGACAAATCCCCGCGATATCAATACCAATAGCATCCAATTAATAATTAGATTCCAATCCATAACCATCAGTCTAAATTAGGGTAAAAATATCATTTTACCCTTTACCTAGCTTGGTCCAAGACCAAGGTCCAAATCAACTACACTAGAAGGCCCAATTCCAAAATGGTCACCCCAAAGCCCAATTATGGTCCAATTTTCCAAATTAGACCCAAGTCCCTTTGTAGGCCTTCTTCCAAGTGAACCCAAAATAAAACATCACCCCAAATAAAATCTGATGGCCCAACAAGGCCCTAATCACCTAAGTCCAATCATGGCCCAAAACCGAGAGCCCAAAAGTCTGAAGCCCATCTGCTGAGTATGCAGGGCGTACTCAGCTCGTACGCTCAGCGTACACGTCCAAGGGCAAGTACGTGCAGTGTACCAGCTTGGTACGCCCAACGTACTCACCAGTTGGCCAATCTCAACAAATAAGCACTTAATCCATTCAACCACTACTCCAAACTCTCAGATCTAGTCCCAAAAGATGATTCATCACGTAAAGTTGGCAACTTTACGTGCATGCATGGCTTAATGAGGCTCTTAGAGCTCAAAAGAGCTTAATAAATTACTTAACACACGCATGACTCCATAAATACCATAAAGTTTGCATTTTTATGCTTAAGGGACCCTTAAAACGTCCAGATCTACAAGGTTTAGCTTCTAAAACGGCCTTAGCTCATCAAGACCAACAAAAAGGGACCAAAATGACCATAAACAAGCTAAAGAGTAAATCAATGCAAAGAGTAGACAAGGTATGGACTTTATACCTCAAAAGTCACCAAATGATGGAGCTAAATCTGGATCTCTAAGCTCTCCACCAAGGAATAAGTCTTCAAACTTCTTCTTCTACCACTTCAGGATGCACAAAACCCACCAAAGTTCAAAACAAAACTCAAAAGCACCACACAAAGGCAAAGGGACGAATTAGGGTTTTCAAAGGGTGGAGGTTGGTCTAAAATGTCCATGAGGTGGGTTAATGAAGCTTAAATAGTGCACAAACCCTAAAAATTAGGGTTTTCCCCTGGCCAGCGTAACCCACGTACACCCAGCGTACGTGGTCGATGCCCGCGATCATATCTCCAACTAGTACGCCAAGCGTACTCTATAGTACCCCTCGCGTACTAGTCAAAAGGACCAAAATGCAATGCTTTGAAATGAGAAGGGTCAAACATGGACATACCAAATTCAAGCGTTACAACCAGTACATGCAATCAATACTACCTAGCAATCTCGGAAACCCATGCTTATTTTCATGCACCATGTACAATTGGTGGACATCGTTGATGGTTGGTTTACGCAAATATCGTTGCCCATAAACCAGAGTAATAGCTTTCGCGAACTTGTAAACAGTATCCCATGTTGTACGCTCGGAAATCCTCGAATATTCATCTTATTTATCAGCTCTCATGTCGTATGCTAACTGACGCATTGCAGTTGTGCATTTATGAATTGGAGAAAAATCTTTTATCGTCTCGCATCCCACTTCCATTGGAAATATGGAAATTGGTCTTCCAAATCGCCAACACTACGGAAAAATAACTATTTCCTCATCTGGATCCGCCGTCAAAGCTTTTCAGCGTACACGATGTATCTGCAAAATAGTTTTCTATAAGACTATTGTGTCTGGCTTCGTGATTTCACCTCAACGGAAATATTCTTGTTTGAGGCCGTGAACGTGAACTTTGACCTTGTCGATTTCGGAAATACGTCATTGTTTTTGCCATAACAGAACCGACAAATAATGTATCTTCTTGCGCCATCGAATCAGAGGATGAAGATGACGATAACAGCATTGTGATTGAGTGAGTTTTTTTAGAGACTATGTAGAAATAAGTGTGAAAAGTATGTTAGATTTGTTTGGTATTTATAAAATGGTAAATGTATTAAAAAATAATTTTTAAATATTTATTATTGTAGCCATTGAAGGTTAAAAAAAAGGAAGATGTTTTTTTTTTTGAAATAGTCGTTGGAAAGCATAAAAGAAAAAAAAAATATCCTGCCAATCACACAAGGAGAGAGAGGGTGGGGTAGCAACCCCTCACTCCGACCCCGTACTGGACAAACCGCAACCCCGGTGGTGTGTAGTCGGGTACGGTTCCGTCCCCCGCACTCGTTTCCCGCTGCACTCCCATTGGTCTTAGGTGTAAAAGTCGTGTGTTATACGGGTTAGTTGAAAAAAGACTAAATATCAAAGTTTAAACAATAAGTACTTTTTAAAAATAAAATTTTGAAATAAGGAATGAAGAAACATATTAATTACAATTTACTATCACATTTATTACATTTAATACTTTGCATATATAAATATATAAGTATTACGTGACTTTTTTATTTAAAAAAAAAACAGAAATTGACATGTGAATATTATTTATTTCAAAAATATCACAAAATAACAAGTGTCAAAACTAATGAAAGATAGACATGTGGCAAAATGAATCTTCATTTATTATAGTAGATATGTTTGTTTCATGTGATTATATGTTTCTCAAAAATGATATAAAATTACTATTTTATTCATGTTTGATTTTTTATTAGTTTTTTTCCATTCTAAACTAAGAAAAATACAAACCCATTTAACATATCCCCACCCCTCATTGTGTCTCATCCCGTCTCACACATCCCTGTTGATGGAGAAAGAAGGCACCACACTACCTTGCTTTCGTCACCGGTCGATCCTCTAGCTACCGCCACCATACCATTAAATCAGAAGCATGATTTTTCATGTGTGTATTGATGTGATATCGAGAGAACATAGACAAAGAGTGTCACATGCAACGGAAAGAAAAAATCAAATGAGAGCGAAGGATAGACAATGAAGCAGAGAAACAGAAAGAAAGGCAGCGACTTCACGTTGTTGTCGACATTGATAGCGGCAGAGGACAACAACCGGTAGGCAGTCGATGACAACAATGGCCTAAAGATGGTGGTTTTTGGCCAACCCTTGGCTTTATAAAACTTCAAAATCTTCACCTGTCACACCCCCAAACTGAAACGATGAAAACGTTCAGGGGTGGATGACTTCATGTTAAGTATCACAACACATGCATCATAGTAATCAAAGTAACAATAACCATCGTATTGATAATATAATATTTACATTGTGTTCATAACATTACTTGAATAATATTAAAAGTACAACAAAAGTTAAGACGTAAAACTCCGTCTTCGCAGCGCCTGAGAGAGAGTACCTGTCTACTAACGATCCTGAGAATACAAGTAGTTTGGAAAAAGTGTCAACATTAAAGTTGGTGAGTTCATAAGTATTTTTGTTATAAAAAGTATTCTCTTGGTTCTTTGGAAAAGTTTGTATGTTCCTCCAGAAAATCCTATATTTTCTTTAGTAGAATGGTAACCACGATAGTTCCTTCGACAATCACTTAGTTTATACTAACTATATATAACCTAATATCGAACGGATAGTTGAATGTGTGAATCTGTCCTAAGCCCACAACCAAACAAGGAACAGGAAATGAGGCGGAAGTCACACATTCCACTGCCTATCAGATATTATTTATATATAATTCTGA